GGAGGAGACGAAAGGAGGAGAAAGAAGAGGCAGACTTGGAAATAAAAAGACGACATAAGAGAAGAAGACGAAATGAGGAGGAAGAGGAGGAGAGGTGAAGAAGAAGACGAGAGGAGGAGGACGAGGACGAGGAGGACTTCCGGTTGTGTCTGGCGATGACGAGGGAAAGAAACAAAAGGCCGAAGGAGGGGGAGTAGGAGGAGAGAAAAGAAGAAGACGAAATGAGGAGGAGAGAAGAAGAAGAAGATGAGAGGAGGAGGAGGAGGAGAGAAAAGAAAGAAATGAAATGAGGAGGAGGATAGAAGGAGAAGAAGACGAGAGGAGGAGGAGGTAGAAAGAAAACAAGACAATGGAATGAGGAGGAGAGAAGAAGAAGAAGACGAGAGGAGGAGAGAAAAGAAGAAACGAGGAGGAAGAGGAGTGGCGAAGAAGAAGACGAGGGAGGAGGAGGAAGAGGAGTTGTGAAGAAGAAGACGAGGGAGGAGGAAGAGGAGGTCGGCTGGGTGAGGAGGAGGAGGTCGGCACCTCAGCGATGGGCAGATCGACGACGGGCGGCGTGATGGGAGCTCAGCACGAGGAGGAGGAGGTTGGCACCTCGACGATGGGCAGGTCGACGACGACGTGGCAGCGCGCCGACGGGCAGTGCGATGGGAGCTCCACGCGAGGAGGAGGAGGTCGGCTACACACGGAGGGCACCTGATGACGATGGGGCAGGGGCAGCTCGATGACGATGCGCCAGGGGCAGGTCGATGGCGACGGGCAGGTAGATGACGGCGGCAGGCTTCGAACTTCGTGGCGGGGAGGACAATCTCCCATTCCAATTCAATTGCGAGATCGTAGCCCGCTTGGGGGGATGGGACAAGGCCTTTTTCAGCGACTGATCCCAGCCGCCGATCTGCGAAGATCGGCGGCTGGGATCAGGGCTGGTATCAGTCGCCGAGAAAGGTCTGCCCCTCCCTCCTACAAAGTTATACGTTTGTTTTTTCAGCCCGCCACTGGCCGAAAAAGATCCCCCCCCTCCCCCCCCCTGGCGAAATTGTGCTGGGCCCGCCCAGTGCCCAACCGGCCGGGCAGGCTGAACGAAGTCCGGGCTGCTGGGTGGTCCGGATTTTAACACAGCTTGTCACTGTTGAGGGTGTTAACCTGGGGCTGGAAAGTGGGGGTTCCTGTTAACCACTTGTCGTCAGGCAGACATCTTGAGACAAATGGGCAAACTGAGCAGATGAACAAAGTACTCCAGCAAGTTAAGGCCCGATCAGATTGACTGGGATGAAGATCTTCCCAAGGTAGCCAGTGCCTATTACAACTCTGTGCACGTTGCTACAGCAAGAACCCCTAACGAGTTGCACAGGGGATGTAGTCCCGGGACCCCTGATCAAATTCAGAGATGGCCGCCAAGTACAAGGGAATTTGCTCTACAGTTTTAAAAGGATTTAGAACGTGTCAGGGAGAACACTGGGAAAGCCCAACACCAGATCATTGAGCAAGGCTATAAGCATTGTAGACCTTCGCGGTTCGCTGTAGGTGATCTAGTTTGTCAAAAGAGTTTCTCCCAGAGGAAAATATATCGCAGAATACCCGCATATAGGGGACCGTGGCAACTTCTGGATGTCGTTGGTGATGTAGGTGGTCCTTTTTATGTACATACCTATCCGGTGTTTCATCGTTCTAAGTTGCTTCCCTGTGTCAGTAATGATCAGTTCCCATCAGGAAGATCTATGATCCCTCCTGATATGGACGACAAGTATGATGTAGAGTCGTTGTAGACAGGATCTACAGATCAGGACAGTGACAGTACAAAGTCAAATTTGCTTACCAGGAGCCGACGGAAGATCGCTGGTTTACTAGAGATGAGTTAATTGAGACAGCCTGCATATAGTTTCCTGTTATGAAAGGGCTCGTAGAGTTGTCAACATTGTAGAGAGGTCAAGTTTGTCACTTTCTCAGAGGACCTTGAAATCAGGTCGATGACAGTGAAACGCATTTTCACGTTGTAGACCCCAAATTCGATCACAGGGTCCAGATCCCCAAGTCAAAAGAGGCCGAGAAGGCCGAAACAGAAAAAGTGTCAAGTCGGGTACCCCGTAGGCCACAAGGTCAAAGTTCAACCCCTTACCCAGCCTCAAAAGTCCAGTCCCACAGTCAAAATGCAGCAGCGCACCGAGAAAAGTCTGGGAGGTACCGGGCCTCAGTATTCCGAAAGCAAACAGGCGGCGGGCGACCTGTACCAGTCAAGTCAGGCCCGGACCAAGTCAAGCAGAGGCCAGTGAAGCAAAGGCCCATTCGAAGCCAATAAGAAGACTGGCCCAGCCTCATTCGAGCAGATTGCTCATTCGCGAGAAGGTCGAAGCGCTGTTGGTGCTTGTGCGCTATTGCATGTGTCTGAGCTCCAAGGAGCCCTGCTGGGCAGCGCTGTGCTGTGGCAGACAGGCGGTCATAGCCGCACTGTAGTAGTAGAGCATGAGTAGGAGGCGGATGTATCCAGGTTGTGATCCTCGTAGTAGCAGAGACTGAGAGTGTACAAGAGAGAGGGAGAGAGAGAGGGAGTGAGGCAGACAAGTCAGGCCCGGACCGAGTCAAGCAGAGGCCACTGAAGCAAAGGCCCAGTCGAAGTCAATAAGAAGACTGGCCCAGCCTCATTCGAGCAGATAGCTCATTCGCGAGGTGGAAGCGCTGTTGGTGCTTGTGCGCTATTGCGAGTGGCTGAGCGCTAAGGAGCCCTGCTGGCCAGCGCTGGGCTGTGGCAGACAGGTGAGCATAGCAGCACAGATGTATCCAGGGTTGTGATCCTCATAGTAGCAGAGACAGAGAGAGGGAGTGAAGCAGCGAGGTTGTGTGACACAAGCTAAGAGAGAGGGATTTGATTGAGGTTGCTGGGTACTGCGCTGATGAGCGCTTGGTGACTCGAACGCTGGCTTTGTATATTATGATCATTCATTGAATTTTCTGAGCTGTGCTAATCTGGTCTCTCCACCTGGACTTCGGTGTGGATTTTGGTGTGAAGTCGCATTGTGCATATTCTTGGAGTGTCAAAAGTTAAGCAAGTGGTTCATTGCACAGGGAATTTTATCATGGTGACACAAACAAATGAGAGAAATGGTCCAGGAAAAAAAAGAAAGAAGCCACAAGTAGAAGAACCAAAGATTGTAAGAAAATGAACCAAGATTTTACTGTGCTGGTAATCTCAATCTTGATCAACCTTTTTGGAGTAATTCTAATACATCTGATTTTAGTTTTAGCTTGGAAAGGACATCTTCAAGAAACTAATGGTGTTGCCATCTCCGGAACCCTATTGTTCCCCTAAGAGTGAGACACCCTTGGGCAATTACCATTCTACTTGCCGTATACACATGTTCTGAATGCAAGGATTTCTGCGGTGCTTTTTGCTGAAAACAATACGTATGTTAGACCACCAGTACATCCGAGCCTCTTTCGGCGAGGGGGATTCCCCCCTGCACACTGAGCTTTGCCCAAACGCCAGCATGGCACTTTTCTTTTCTTATGGCTGGCGCCGCCAGACCACTTTGGACTTTTCGGAATGAGCAGATTTGAATTCTCGTAAGGAAAAAAGTGGCCACATATACTGCATAGCTTTGTCATCTGCACAAGTATTGGGACTCCCTGGGCTATCCTTTTGCTAGAAGGGTACAATCTCAGTTCATCATATGCATGTGAATGAAAATGATTAATCAATAACGATTGATGAAAATATTATCATGCACTTCTTCTTCGTTCTTGTTGATCATCATCTCCTTGCTCTCTGATTTGTCTTGTACCAAGTTCATGCCTGAACTCTGTTGATGAGGTAAGCTTCAAGAGATGGGCTCATTGCAACATCACATTCAGTCAATTATCTCTGAATTATTGCATATTTCGTTTTGGGGACTCGTGTGGACCGGAATATGTGCGAGGCCTGTTTCAGCAAGAACGGACACCCTAAGTGAAGGTGAGCCTGACAAGTGACAAGACACCTATTTTGTGTTTTGACACAGCTGGGGAAATTCAGGCAGTTACGCCGCGTCAATTGGTTGAATGCGCCCAGGTCCTGCCAGCCAACCTCTTGGGCCTTCAGGCCCTTGATCAGATGAATCGGAGGCAGGCCCTGGGCCAGACACACGGCATGAACTAAACACAGGCCGACTGGGTAGTAGGACACGGGTAACCTTCCCAGGCCCTGTGTAAGATACCCTGGGACAGGGGTTCAGCTACTTGGGGCCTACCGTAAGCTTCTTGGGAGAGGCCCAGGACAGCCAGGCAGCCCATGACTGGCAGCCTCATTCCATAAAGGAGCTCGACATTCAGGCACTCGCTGCTTATGCGCAAATGCTGCTGCGCCAGCTGCTGAACCGAGTGCCTACGTGCTCACGGGCGAGCAGGGAAGAAGCAGGCAGCCATAGCCGAGCTGGCCTGCGCATTGCTGGATGGGCGCATGGTGGTCCTTGGGTGCACATGGCATCTGTGTGGAGGATCGAGGTTGTGAGTGAAGCGAGGGGCATACCTGGTGCTTGATGCGAACGGCATTGGCCGATATCGGCTTGTACTTCGGGGAGCTGTTGACGTCACCAGCGGCATTGTAGATAGGCTAGATAGGATCTGCCATTCGTAGTCTGGGCGCTGAGCGCCAGATAGGAATTCAACATTTGTTCATTGATGATGATGATGAGACTATTCCAACAATGTCATTTGTGAGCTTTGCTGTGTTCTTATTTGGTGGAACCCGAGTTGCACGTCTGCTTTTTGGTTCGAGATCAAGACTATCTGGTTTCATGTGTATGATGCTGCTTGGTTTCTGGAATTCGCTATCGCTCATTTTCCTTACATGTTTTTTTTTTGCTTTTGATATCATCTTCAAATTGACGGGCCTCAGGTAAATTCAGAGTTGTTTTACTCACCTGAGTTGATTGGGACTTGAACCGAGGTCTGCATTTCAACAGTTCATGGGTGTACGGACTGAGCTCGGTTCGTTGGGTGTTCTTTTCCCCTCTCGTCCTTATTCGCAGGCGAACATTCCAGCAGCCTATCTGAGTGCTAATCTTACTTGGGAGGAGACTCTGGCTGTGCTCAATGGCATTTCTGAGCCTGATCCCAGGTACAGGCTGCTTTATGTGACACCGGAGAAGATTGCAAGGTAAGTGGGAATAACTTTCAAGCTTTGGGCTGGACCTAGTTTCCAGCAACTTGTTTCCGCTTCTTTTTCAGTTAATTTTTTTGTGCTGACCCGATGGTTATGAATAGGTTTTTGGAATGTGCCAGCTCGAGAAGGATATCCAGGAAAATGTCTGAGGGACAGAGATGTCAACGTCTAGTTCTGAGTCTTCTGATGAAATGGTACTAGATGTTCAGTACCCAGGTCCAAGGATCCAGCTCTCGGCAGGACCTTAACACATTGTGCTTGAATGGACTACATTTTTGGCAGTTGCTTGCTGCACGGTGTCCAGTCGATTTAAATGTGCTGTGATGGGTGGTAATCTTAGCAAGAAGATATGGCATACGGTTTCTTTGTATTTTTAACTATGGTCTGCAATATCTAGTGATTTTTTGAATTTTTTTCCCTTGGAAGATTCCTGATCATTGGGGACTCGGAACTAGTTCAACATCTGGGTTGCTACGTGGAGAGAGGTATCTTCTTGCACAATTTGCCACTGATGGTAACCACTACTGGTCCTATTCAGTGACTTCATTATGTTTCAATCATAGTTGCAGCACCAGTGCGCAGTGCGGTAGGGGCTGGTGCGCAGTGCGCTGTGCGCTGGAATGACAGCATGCGCACTGTGCGCAGCGCGGCAGCTGCACAAAAAATAAAATAAACAAATTATATGTGCCCTCGGGGAGAGAGAGAGAGAGAGAGAGAGAGAGAGAGAGAGAGAGAGAGAGAGAGAGAGAGAGCAAAGGGTCCCGTTTACGTCAATTCAAGGGGCCCTGCAGGTAACTCAAATGGCTCTGACGATGTATGTGAACATTGTGGAGTCATTTAGGACCAATGCTTCAACGAGCAAGATGGCTGTGTCATATGTGGAAGAGGTGGGAGCAGACCACCAGTATATGCTGTGGGTTCGCCTGGCAGTTATGGGTCACTGATTCAGCCAGACCGTGTTCGTGTCTCCACGTAATTCTCAGGGCCTGTTTTTTGTGTATGTGGTGAGAAGTGGAGAATGGGCCCTTGGGCCACTATACGTATTCATAAGAAAACAAAAAGGGACTCAGGTCTGCATGTCAGCAGTTATCGATTAGGATGAAGATCCTCACATATTGGTGGTTGGCTGGCCTTGCCAAACATATTTTGTGACTTCTACGAAACACTGTGGGGCAGATCGCTTTTGGGTAATTACATCCTTCTGGCAAATTTCTTCCACCAGTGTGGGATTTGCAGAACAGAGGGGGACGGCCAGTTTCGACACCCCTCATAAAAAAAAAAAACCTGGAATGAGCCCTATTTTCCAGATCCGCCATTTCAATTTTTTTGGGCGAGGGGCCTGCAGAATTCGAAATTCGGCAGCTCTTGCCCAAACAAAAATTTTCGGGCCTGGGGCGCGGCCTGTTTCCGAACTCGTTGCGTGTTGAACATTGTTTGGTGGGAAGGGGGGGACGGGGGCTAAGAAATTACGAAACCGCCAGTGTTGGTCCCCGATCCGACAGGGGTGCACTCCTCGAGCCGGAACCGTTCCGGTCGGACCGGCTGGTCGACCGACCCGGCTCCCCCCCGGTCGGCCCCAGCGCGCTACCGCTGGAGGGGGTTACCGGGGTCCAAAAGCCGCGGGGGGTACTCCGGTGTCTGAAGGAGGCCTGCGGGCAAAAAAAAAAATTGTGGCAGTCCGGTAGGCCTGCGGCAACGCTACAAAAAGGGCGGCCGATCTGGACTTCCGATCTCGAGAGATCGGCGACCCAGATCGGCCGCCCTTTTCAAAACAATTGGGCAGGATCTGGCGGCTGCCTCTGCCCCAGCACGCGCCTCCCTTTTGCGTCCTGCTGCCCCCCCTGCTGCGGCCGCGTTTCCTGGTTGCCAATGTCGTCGTTCGCGTCTCCCTGTCGGCCACGTCGACGCGCGCCATCGACAGAAGCCCAGCTTTCCGCGTCCTGTTGCCATCGCGGCAGTGGTTAGAGAATCATCTCTTCTTCTTCTTCTTCTTCTTCTCCTCCTTCTTCTTCACCTTCACCTTCACCTTCAGCTTCACCTTCACCTTCTCCTTCTCGTTCTCCTTCTCCTCCTCCTACTCCTCGTCCTCCTCCCCCAACGGCAGGAATAGCCATAGACATAGGCCGTGATTTTCTTCTTCTTCTTCTTCTTCTTCTTCTTCTTCTTCTTCTTCTTCTTCTTCTTCTTCTTCTTTTTCTTATCCACCTCCTCCTCCTCCTCCTCCTCCTTCTTCTTCTTCTTCTTCTTCTTCTTCTTCTTCTTCTTCTTCTTCTTCTTCTTCTTATCCACCTCCTCCTGCTCCTTCTCCCCCCAGGTTTGTGGTTATCCTTGTTTGCTGATGCCCATGCCTGCTGTAACACCGCCACTAAGAACCCCACCCCCGCCATAAACCCCCCGGGCCTGCGGAATTCGAAATTCGGCAGCCCTTGCCCAAAAAACAAATCCGGGCCTGGTGTGCGGCGGGTTTCCTAACTCGCATGGCGAGTTGAACAGTTTTGCTGAGGGGGAGGGCCTAAGAAACTACGAAACCTCTACCTTTTTTTTCTTTTTCCCCGACCTTAATTTTTCTGGTGCGGTGCGCGCGGTGCCGAACGTGTCCGCAAATCCGCGCACCGAGGTGGACCGCAACTATGGTTTCAATTCTTTTGGTAGTTCAAAACTTTTGAGAACATAGTGGCATAGCATACAGGCAGTGATGTTCTCTCTTGTCCCTTGTCATCTGTGTGTTGTTTCTTTCTTGGTTTACTTATCTGTGAAACGGTTTCACCCAGTTTACCGGACAGTTGCAGGCATCAGGACTGGATCCCCGTAGCCCTGTACATTGGCCCTGTAGCCCTATGTGGGAGTTGAACCCACAACCAATCCCTAAACACCCTAGGTTAGTAAACATGGACTCGAACCATGGACCCTAGTATTACGAGTCGAACGGTGTACCGATAGGTCTAGACTAGGTCTTCTAGAAGTTGCTATTGGACTCTTCGAGGTCCTAGGGGTCAGTCAGTAGGTTAGTCCTAGCTGTTAGCGAAGAATCAGTCCTAGGTTCTAGAAGGTCGTAGGCCCAGTCCACCGGGTCTGAGTCAGCAAGTACCAAGTGGGGGTTGCATGCGGTTTGGGGCTCCACGTGATTTGGGCCTCACCGGCCCACAGGATTTGGGCCTCCCAGGCCCATGCGGTTTGGGCCCCACAGGCCTCCATGCATTTTGGGCCCAGGCCTGGGGGCTACGAAATAGTATAAATAAAGTGGCAGCGCTCAGCCATTCATTCATTTGCCTGAGAGCCATGCGGAAGCGCTGCTGCAGCGACTTGTGCACTGGAGGTCTGCAGGTGCCCGAAGCTGAAGTGGGCAGAGGGAGACGACGACGGCCATAGCCAAGAGAAGGAAGACGACGTCGGCCGTAGCCGCCAGCTGCTGACGTCAACGAGATAGAGTGCAGTGTGTGTGTCTGTGTGTGTGTGTGTGTGTGTGTGTGTGTGTGTGTGTGTGTGTGTGTGTGTGTGTGTGTGTGGACATTCAGGGTAGATCCTCGTGGGTGTATATAAGAGAGAGAGTGAGGCTGATGGTGGAGACAGTGTTCGGCTGGGAATTCAGACAGTATACAGCGACCATAGCCACAAGTTGTGACAATTGACTTAAGTTGAGCTCCTGGCCAGAGGCCATATCTCTGAGTTTTCTTTGTGGGCGCATGCCGCCATTGCAAGTTCGTTGCTGGTTCTGGGTTGATGAAGTGGGTTTTGCATCGGCACATACATCTATGCATGTTGCAAGCGAGATTGAGACAAGTCTGATTTCATCTGTGTTGTTGTTCTTGCTGCAGGAGTAATTCACTTTTTTCCACACTAGAACAGTTGTATCGTCGGGATATGCTTTCTCGGATTGTTATTGATGAAGCACACTGTGTTAGTCAGTGGGGTCATGATTTTCGACCCGATTACCAGGTACGAGTGTCCAACATCCTAGCGGTGGAGGGTATAGTGTGTGTGTGACGAGGGGGGGGGGGGGGGGGGGGGGGGGGGGGGGGGGGGGGGGGGGGGGGGGGGGGGGGGGGGGGGGGGGGGGGGGGCTTGAGGCCTGTATGGCATTGATATATTTTGATCTTTTGCTAGAGACTGTGATTGTGAGCTGAATTATGATGTGTCACGTGTGCATGTTACGCCCACGAGGTTAAGTTACCATAGCTGCTAGCCGGTACGCCTACAATTTCACAAGTGACATCTCGGACACACATTTGCCTTATGCGGCCAAGGGACTGCCTTCTTGACCATGGCATCCATTTTAAAGAGGATGACTCGAGGCTGGATCAGGAGGTAGGGTGAGAAGCAGCTTGTGATGGAAACAGGTGGTTGTGGATTGTGTTGTTTGTTCTTTATATCATGCACTTGTATATCCACAATCTTTTCTCAGTTCGTGAGTTCTAGCCAAGTCATCATGGTTGCATCCCTGCCGACCGCTGACCCCGACCGCCGACCGTATTGCAGCCGACCAGTAGGGCCGACCAGTCGGCGGTCTGCCGACCAGTCAGAAAACAACCATCCAGTGGACTGCGCTTGCTGAGTACAGCCCAAATCTGCTGAGTTGGAAGCTGTACTGCGCTTGCTGAGTACAGCCCAAATCTGCTGAGAAACTTTTGGGGATGGGGGGGGGGTATAGGGGGATATTGGGGGG